CTCAATCTTGACCCTCTACTCCTATTAAGGCAGCCTTGAATTGCATTTGCTTTTTTTTAGCTGCTGCATCACTCTCCTGACTCATGTTGAGCTTGTGGTCTACCAAGTCCCCTGGATCTCTTTTCACATGGACTGTTTTCAGACCAGGTGCCACTCATCCTATATTCTTGTGTTTCATTTTATCAACCACGCAAAGTCCAGAAACATGTGATCCCAGCACCAGATCTAATTGTGGCTGAGCTTTTATCATTTTTTTTAAAGATGATCAGACTTGGCAGGAACTATGTTTACAGGATCAAAATCACTCTTTTGTTCTTCTTTGACTTTTTCACAGGTAGAAGAAAGATATCACTGGTCACAGTCATACTGGTATGATTCAAAGACAGAGAGACGTTATGGAAGCCACTCAGGTAAGAGAGGATTAATTGGAGAAAATTACATGAATTCTTACTTCTGAGTGAATTGCTGTATTTTGCTTTGTCTGAAACCATCAAAGCTGTTCACTAGGAAAAGATGGATGTGTTCCAGTAATAGTTTGTGTGGTTATTTGAGCCACATAGGGAAGAACCCAAACATACCAACCTGTTTTCTTCTTTTGGAGGGACAATTATTAACTTATCTGAATGGATAAGACTTACCCAGGCCTAGCCTAAAACTCGTAGGAGAAGCTGGCATGTCGCCTAATATGGACTTTGCAGTTTGTTTGAAGAGTATTAAAATAATAGAAGCTCATAGAATCTTAAAACAAAATCCATTTGTTTCATGTGTACATACACCTAGTCTGAATGTAAATTTATACAATATTTTTTCATACTGTTGTGCATAAAACCAACGTTTTTGCATAATAAACCATCAGAAAGCAGGGGTGTCACTATTTTGGATCATTTCAGATTTTGGAATTTGAGATAATGGACACTTAATTTATAATAAGAACTCAGAGGAATATTTGGAAACAGAGGTCAGAGATAAAGGATTTTAAAATGATTCCCATAACATTGTGTTTTTACAGATTTGTTTGTAATTTTCTAAAACTATGTAGATAATCTGTATATATTGTGATGAGAATGTGAGTCCTTTTTCCCTTTGAGGTCCCTGTGTCCTTTGAGGAGGTGGCTGTGTATTTCAGGGAAGAGGAATGGTCTCTGCTGACTCCGCGTCAAAAAGCGCTGTATAGGGAAGTTATGCTGGTGAATTATGAAACAGTGGTATCTCTGGGTAAGGATCTCTTTCCTCCTCCACACACACACACACTTACT